AAATACAACGAGGAATACGGATACGAGCTCAAATATAAATACATTGATCAACGGAAGACGAATAGGAAGAACACTTCGAATACGACGATGAAACCGGGAAAGATGAATACAAAGACTGCACTGAAACGAAGATGGATACGATTACGAAAAGGAGATGAATACGAAGACTGCGACGGAGATAAATACGAAGAAGAAGAACATGGCGACGAATACGAAGACTAATACGAGGGCATATACGAATAAGATCTGAAGACGAATACGAATACTGCGACTAAAACAAGGACGAAGCTAATTTGCAGACGAATACGTATGTAATTGAAGACAGTGACTAACGAAAGAGATAAAAAAATGTTTGGGATCCCTAAAGAAATCTAAAAAAGCTGCTCAATTTCGGCGGTAACTGGCACTTCTTGTTTCTTATAATTTCTCTAAATTCAAGTTGTTATAGTTTTATTTGAAACAAAATATAAAAACTAAATCTAATAAATTAACAAATCGTCTTCTCTTTTAATTTTAATTAATAATTTAAAATTCTTTACTATTCTTCATTCAACTTTTCAATATTTTTTTTTTTTAATTCCTTTTTGGTGGTTGTTGTTTCCGACAGGGTGGGTGTATTATGTGTTTTAGAACGAATTTTCGATAATACCTGGTCATATTTGGTTTGGCGTTCTGCCATCTTCAGTGTTATTTGAGACGAAATGTTTTACGGAAATTGGTTCCGAAATATATTTATTTTTTTATTATTTAACTGTTCTCTTTAAAATTTTGATGATATTAACACATTACAAAATTTCGCGATAACGCTTTCCCAAAAAAAAAAATAAAATAAAATATGCAACAACCAAACATAAACATCCGTTATCTTGCTCTCTGTAGTCAAAATTTCGTACCCCCAAAATTCCGCCTGCAACAGTGTTGCCGCGTATTGTCGCAGGCCTGAGTTATGACTGCTGACATTGCCGTGTACAATGCTTTACAATGAAAAACCTAACTTTAATCCGCTGTCCATAAAATATGAATTCGTAACTTCTCTTTTTTGCATTATATTGGTCAATACTTGTACTAGGAAAAACTATTACCAGAAAACAGCAATCAGCGCTTCTAGTTGTATGGAATTTGTTAGCTTTTGTGTGTATTGAAAGCACTTCATAATTTTCTGACTGCAGAAGAATCTAACTCAGTTTTGCCAACGAACTCTTAGGCCATTATTTATACATTTTGTGATGCAACAGCTGCTGTTTGTCCAGATAATGGTCAACCCTTAAATGAAATAATAGAAAAAATACCACATTAACTATATTTCCTGTTAAGTTTTAAGCTTGAAAAGTCATATTCATTCCACTGCATTACGAACATAAATAGTTGGCATAACTAAGGGCCATCGTCTTTTTTTTTTTAGAAAGGTAGTAAATCTTCACGACTCTGCCAAACAACTTAATTGCTTTAAATGCACAACATGTTCAAGTTGTCAACAACGCCAAACACATTTAAAATCATAAACTGGCACACTATTTAGCCGGAAAGGCCATTGCTTAGACCACACTCTTCGCGCCTTTGTGGAAAATGTGCACAAAAGCGCAGGAAAAGCTCAAAATAAAAGTTGGAAATACTATTGTAACAAAATAAAAATGTGAAAAATTACTCACGCTACACAGTTAAATAAGATGTGCTTGACGTTGACAATTTTTGCATGCCACATACATACTATTGTCGACTTTTGTTGTTTGTAATTTTGGTTTTTTTTTTGTCTTTCGTCTCTGCTCCAAAATGGGTTTTGGTGGTTTAGTGTCGTTAAGGCAATAAAATGGACACAAAATGCCCCAACAAGTTATGTTACATAGAAATACTGTCCAACTAGCAGTGATGGCAATGACAATAGCGGAAACAACGCCGCCGTAAGCGTTGAAATTAAGTGCCTACACTGGTAAAGTCAGTGGAGTTTTTAACAGGTCTCCGAGGCGGGCGAAGACTGTGTGTCATGTTATATGCACATATATACATAAGTATGTATATACAGATAGGAGTACATATATGTATGTACATTGTAAATGCAATTGCTTTCCCAAAATGCGTTTTTTTCATTTCTCTTTATTTTTTCTGTTGTCACTAACTTCTTGGAAGCTACCGCTTCGACACTACGAAAATAAAAAAAAACAAAGAGCGTAAGAAAAAACATATCTACAGATATGTATATGCATGTCTATGTTTAAAAAATTTACTAACATAAATACGTACATATCCCGCCATTGTGTAACTTTCGAGAAAGTCTAACCGGGCGGCAGGTGGTCCGTGTATTTGCCATGAAATCGAAAGTGTTAATTTAGATCAAGTAAATAATTTAAAGAATAAATAGTGAGTGTTAAACTAAATATGTTAGTAACTTGAAATGGAAAAAAAAATTGTCAACCCTTTAACACAACGGAGTTATTACTTATAAAATTCGATAACTATTTTATTCAGCCGTAAGGGATGTGGCTTTTTAAGATTTGTTCTTCTTCTTTTGAGAAAACGGTTACGGTTTCACGCTACGCCATTCAAACACTATGGGCAGAGCTGCCAACTTGGTTCAAACCGTGCCATTTTTGGCCCTATTTTACTTCAAATGGCACTTAATTTTTCAATTTGGCACAAAGCACCAAAATGGCACTTTTGAAAAAAAAGTAATATTTCAATACATTTTTGTGAAATCCTTTGCGTGTACTTCTCTTTCTGAGCTAAAATTTTCTAATTTCAATAGTGTATACTCAATCTTACTTTGGCATTGGACTTTTGTTTTAGGAATGTGTTTCTAATTTTAATGCTAAATGGGAAGAATTAAAAAGAACGACATCTTTTTGGCACTTTTGTTTTTCTATTTGACACATTTTGGCACTTTTTTATCCTCAATGTGGCACTTCATAGCTAAGTATAGTTTTTTTTTAATTTTTAATTTATTTATTTAATATTTATAATTTGTTCATTAAAGTCTAACACATAACATACAGACACCACATAAATCCATATTTCAAACTTCGTAAAAAATTATAAAAAAACATCCCGAAAAGTGAAATGCAAAGTATCTGAATACCCAACAGTTTCAAACGATCGCGAAATACTGCCGAGGGACCTTGTAAACTAAGAGGCAAAGTATCCCCAAAAGCGTTGAAAGTTTCCGAAATATAAATCACTAAGAAAAAACCCTGCACAAATACCGCAAGATGGCGAAATATAAAAGTTCCAAAAATGTCGCAGGAATCTCAAAAACAAAGAAAAGCGAAGCACCGTGAAAGGTCTCAACAAATAATGCCGGTACAAAAAACTAACATTTACTTTTACTTAAAGCGCCAAACAAGAAGAAAAATGAGTAAACACTTGAAATACTTTAAACGACATCAATCTGCCAATTAAGAGCTGAATCTCTTCATCGAATGTTTTCTTTTTGTTTGCAACTACATACTTATGTTTTAAGAGCGCAGCCATATCATTTTTATGATTAATCAATTTGTTTATGAATTTAGGTCAACTTAAAAGGTATGTAGGTAGAGGTTCGCATGCAAAAAGACAAACTTTATACAAAATACATGCATATGTGCGTATCGAAAGGGAAAAACAATAACAAAAACATGACGTTGATAACCACCTGAAATTCGTGTCAATTGCAAAATTTCACACCCAATGAATTGCCTGCAAAGCTTCGGACAGCAAACACACAACCAAAAGAGCTTATGTTCAAATTAGTCTAAATGGCGCACCTACCGGCGATAATGAATTAAAAATATACAAAAATGCCAGACTGACAAAAAGTTTTGTTTTTTTTTTTTGTATTTGTGTTTTTTTTTCACAGATGAACGAAACCAAAGGAATTTTTTAGCCTCCGCAAAGAGGAAGTGGTTAGCTAATGAGGAGGGGTCGCAGGTCTTCGAAACTTATGTACATATAGGAAGCGTGGAGAGAGGATAAGCAGTAATAGGGAAGAAGTGTGAGTAAAAAAATAATTATTTACATACTCGTACGTAGCAAGCACAGCAGCCGCTAGCTCAGCAACGCGGTATTCGCATGTATGTAGTGTGTGGTCTACTTGCTTTGTTGATGCTGCGCGGCAGCTGAGTAACACTGCTGGGTGCGTTTAGTTGAGGGCGTAAAAGCGAAATTTGTTCAGTCGTTGCTGTTTTGTGATGCCAATGGGCGTGCAAGTATTACATATGAGTACAGACAGATTGTGTTTCGTTTTGTTTGTTTGTTTGTAGCAACTGCGCATGCGCGACAACGCATTTTTAAGACGTTGTTTCCATTTCAACTGAGCAAAATTTATTTTTTTTTGTTAGTTTACTCGCTAACGAGCAGTGTGTGCATTGCTGTTGGCCAACATGGGAAAGGCACGTAGTGCTTGCTTCAATCATAATTGCCTCAAAACTGTTGCCGCTTGACTTGGCCGCTGTTGCTGCCAGTGCCAAAATTATGACAACTGCGGCTGCGCGCCATTGCTACACGATGGCTTTTTGGGCCATTTCTTTAGGTTTCGCTTTTCATTTTTTGGTATTTTCTCCAATGTAGTTGTGTGCGTGTGTGTGTGTGTGTCGTTTTTTAATGTCCCTCTGGTTTATTTATTTTTCGCGTTATTTTCAGATTTTTTTTTTCTTTTTTTCTGATGATTTCAGTTTTGTTTTCGCGTCCGTTTATGAGTTGTGCGTGTGCGCGCGCATTCCGCACACCTTGCCGCTTGGCTGTGCTCTTTCCACCAGTGCGCCTCTTTATCACTTCACGCGCTTCACTTTTCTCGCTGCTGCAGCGGCTGCTGCTGTTGTCCCCTTTGCTGGCGGTTTTGTTTAATTTTTTTTTTTTTTTTGTAAAATTGTTTTGTAATGAATTTTGCGGCGCTCCAGCGCCGGTGCCAGTAGCAGCAGCAGCAGCAGCTTACAAACTCTGACTATATTTTTTAGGAACCAGTATAAAAGGGTGTCTACCTCGAGACAAGTACATCAAATTCATCTTAACGCTCTCAAGTACTGCACGTTCGCGAACTAAACGAAAGTGTCGCGTTAAAAGTACCTTACGGCTCAAACAATTTGGATATTCGGTTAAATTCATTTGTCGTGCGTGTTATCTAACTTGATCTTTGTGAAAATGAAAGTGTTCGTCGCCTTCGCAACCGCATCCCTGCTCATTGTCAGCTGCGCTTGGGCCGCACCAAGCGTGCAAGACAATCGCATCGAGGGTGAGAATGGTGGTACGCTGGCGCTTGCCGCCCGCTATCTAGGCAACTGCTTCGAAACTGAGGATATAACCACCTGTTTAGCAGTTAAAGGTATTACCGCATTGAATCGTGCCGCCAGGAGCAACAACATCGAAATCGTCAGCGGCATATCATTCAAGAGGTGTGTGTGTGCAATTGTGAAACAAAATTTAAATGAAAATGAACTGAATTTTGAGACAGAAAAGACATTCGAATTACTTTGTGTGAAGCAATGCTAGTACATACATAAGTACATACATAAGTAGCATTACGTAACTCAAAAGGGTGTGATAATAATTAAGTGAAATACCAATACGCCTGCGTCTAATTTTGGGGGGGAAAAAAATGCAACCAAATTAAAAACAAAAATCGTATTATTTGCATTGCAGAATTCGACATCTATGACTGCACAAAAAATGAGGCGAAGTGTTTCAAAAAAAAAACCGAGAAAGTCAGCTTCAAAAAGTTGGTGACATAATTTCCCTGTGAATAAACAAAGACTGCTTTAAGCATATCGTGTTTTCGGAGAGATATGTTATTTCGAGCTAAGTACTAGTGCTTTTACCGCAAATATATGTAGTTAGGGGTTCCACAAGACATCCCAGTCGGAAAAGTAGTAGTGCATTACATGCGTTCTCGGTAATGTTACTGCTAACTGTGCAATCAGCATTCTAATGTATTCAAAAAGTTTCAAAAATTTCATATTAAAACACATTCATTTCTCGACACTAGGTTATGCAAAATTGAATGCCCCACTTTTCTTAGGACATCGCCCTAGGGGGAAAAATGCATTTTCGAATGTGAAAATGGTTGTTTTACTGATTATTTTTTTCGATTACTTTACATTAGATTTTCCCACTGGGATGTTAAGTGAGGGTTTTCACGTTTGGGCCTCAAAGTGTACATACGGAAGCGTGCCTTGATGGATCTTTTTATACGTGAACCTTGTACTGCATACTACCATGTTTCGGGACCCGGCGGTGTCAATCAGGCTCAGTCCGTTGTCGGACGTTTCGTCGTGGAGGTTGAATTTTCCGACGGTGGTTCCAAAGCTCCCTTCCTTGCCCTTGCCCGGCCTGGCATTGAAACCGCCGTATATGTAGTCAACTTCACGTGCAACTAGCTTCTTTATGAACTGCCGGCCCTCCTAAAAATATTTTCCATCGATCTCAAGTGAATTGGAATTTCGTCATCGTCGTTTCTTTTAAGTGGAACACTATTATCCACAACCTTTAGCATTTGAGTATTATAGATAGTATTCGAAAACTCTCTTAGACAAAGGATAATATTTTTTGTAAGAGGCAAGATAAAGTTTCTTATGATGAAGTTTCTTATTATGACGCTTTTACGCTTACTTAAGGAAATTAACCAATTGACCCCACTAAATTCTGCAGGGATAAAAAAAAACGCTGGTTTCATACACGAACAGTTTTACAACAACAAATTTTGTTGCAAATAGGCTACAAATATTATTTACAACGTCTTAAGAAATCACAGATTTTGAATATGTACCGTTATGGAAAAAAGAAAAATTAATTTAATCGTTTGCTTTGTTTAACACTACCTAGTAGGTTTAAAACACACGTCAATTCGAGAAATTCAACAACTGATTTCGAATTTTTTTCACATTCTTTAAAAAAGAAAAAAGTCAAAAAATACCAAATAGTAGCGCCAATGTGGTCGTTTTAGACTTTTATTAGAGAGGGGAATGAGCACAGCGTCTACGAAGACAACATGTTGAGAATCTAGTAGATGCAACAAACGTCTAACAAAACAAATATGTGGTGCCTATTCTGCTAATTGGCTGCAAACGATCCTTAAAATTTTCTTCGTTTATAAATGTCCAGATTATACAACATACCTTTCAGCATGTCCAGGAAAAATTAGGTATGCAAAAAATAAATAGTTCCATTAGAAAGCCAGCATTCAATAATGTTGTTGCCCATTTAAATCCAAATAAATTTTTGTACACTGCTTAAGGGAGAATTAAAAAAAAACTCTCGTGTAAAATTTACCTTTTGACACTTACGATAAAATCGCAAATATTTTAATTCCAATTTACAAATGCATTTTATGAAAATAAAATCTAAAACTCTTGGCATATTTTATCACCAATAATTTTTTCTTACAATTTTCAGAGATTCCTCATCGCCAATGGCGCGCAGCGGCAAAGCTTTAAGTGAAAACGATATTTACGCACAATTGCCTGAAAATTCAGAAGAACGCAGTGGACGTTTGGTAGACATTGCTGTGCAAAATGCTGCCGAGTTTCTGGGCTCGCACAGTCTGGAAATGAAAATTCCCGCTGAGGCTACACAGGAAATGGCACGTGCCCTTGATGAGGGTAAGTAAGATATCCTTGAGAAACTCGACTTAAACTAAGCAGTTTGCCGTTTAGCTACACATACGCCACCGCTTCAATATATTATATCGACATGCTTTTAAATATTATTTTATACTTATAATATATTTTCTCTATTTTCTAGGCCGCGGCAAATTGAAGAAAATGTTGGGCCCCATTGCCCTCGCTATTGGCGCTAAACTGTTCACTGTTGTTCCCCTTGTGCTCGGCGCTTTGGCTCTGCTCACCACAAAGGCTGTGATTGTTGCCAAGATTGCTTTGTTGTTGGCTCTGCTAGTTAGCGGCTCACGTTTCTTCGGCGGTTTGGGTAATAAGTTCAGTGGCGCTCTTGGCGGTGGCTACAATGCTGCTAGTTGGTCACCAAGCAACACTGCTGGTTGGTCATCGGGAGCTGCCTCTTCATATCCTTATGCGCGCAGCTTGGATGCCCAGCAATTGGCATACGCAGGACAAGCGCCCGCTGAGGAAGAGCAACAACTAGCACAGGAGCAGCAATAATCTTCTACGGCAGCAGATGTGTAGCGATTATGTTGCATAAGAAATGCCAAAAATGTGCCTTTGTTAAAGATTACCTAATACCAATTGTGTTTATGCTTATTTTGTATATAGTTGTAAGTAATTTATTAAAAAGAAAGTAATAAGTTAAATTTTTTACATAACTGATTTTAATTTCTAATGCACATGAGTATTTATTTTTTGCACAAATTTCATTTTAGTATTCAATCAATGACAACGAAAAAGTATTTTTACACTAAATTTCATAATTCACCGAAGAACAAGTAGTAACAAAATTGTAAATTTTCGTAGTCATAGTATGTAATTTATTTTGATGTACGCATTTAAAATAAAAATAGTATTTTTTTACCCAACATATAATGCAAATGTACAAAGTTTAGCGAATAAAGATCGAACTAATGTATTATACTTGAAAGTGATTTTCAATTGAAATATTTTTTAAAATTTGGGAAATACTGCCAGCTCTCATAGTGGCAGATACAGAATTTTGGAGTTAGGGACGGTGATTGGGTGGCATCTTGTCAAATAGTTCAATTGGCTATACATCTATCACCGCTAGTAATGTGCGGTTCCGGGCATTCAAAGAACCGATTCTGTCGAGTTCGGTTCCAAGCAGAAACAAGAATTTGAACGGTTTCGGTTTTAAAAAAAGGGGAAAGCAAAATCTGACTGAAATGACTTTTAAAAATTTTTACAAAATTTAAATTTTTTTTTTGTTGTAATGTAAAGAAAGTAAATAAATATGGAATTTTGCAAGTTCTGAATATACATTTTGTTTTAAATTTTCTGCCTTCAAATAGAAGAATGTGAATAAATGTATTAAAAACATTAAAATCATTCAAACTCATTTCGGTTACAGTTTTCTACAAACATACATATGTATGTTTACAAAGAATTGTCATTTATTTCAATTCAATTTACTCTCACTTTTTTTGAATATTATTGTGTTGACACAAATATCAGAACTGGTATTCGCGCAAATTCAAAAAAATTTGAAGCCGAAATCATTCATTCGTTTTGCATATGAATAATTCATAAGTACTTTTGAATGAATTCATGCAGCCCTCTAGTACATATATAACGTTTATTGATTAGTTGATTTTTGTGTTACAAAATTGTATAGAAATAAAATAAATGAAAGTAAAACTAGTATAGCATTGAATTCAAAGAAAAAAATTGCGTATGTAGGTCAACTCAGAACTCCATATTACGTAAACAAACGGAATTTCAAAACGATAGCATTAAATATAACGAAGTTGATGTAAGTCGGCTAGATCTGGTAAATGGCGGCTACATGATATAGCACCTCAAGCCGAGCATATTAATAGGTCAACTCAGAACTCTATAAATAGTACATATATAAACTAAATTTCTGGCTGAATCTTCGTATTAAGACTTTATGCCAAAACCATAAATTGTTACCCACAGTGCAATGTACGCTTCGTTTTTCAGTTCTTTTTTTACCAAAATAAACAACTTTTTGCCCATATTGTAATTTACGTTTCGTGGCCGATTTTTGATTCCGTAGGATCCGTTTTCAGTTCCTTTGGAATGGTTTTGAAGTTATTTTTACTTATTTTTCCGGTTATTCTAAGATCATTTTCCGGTCCTCCCGGAACCGAATTTTGGGTATTTTAGAATCTAGTTTCGATTATCTTGAAACCCTTTTTCGGGTCATTTTTGATAGAGGTTCAAATCTTCCGGAACCGTTTTTCGGTTCTTTTAGAATTGAGGTTCGGTTCTGCAAAAACCACTTCTCGGATCTTTTGGAATTGAGTTTAGGTTCTTCCGGGACCGTTATTTGGTTGTTTTGGTATAGAGATTCGGTTATTGCGGAACCTTTTTCAGTTTTTGTAGGAACTTAATCCAATGGTTGTCTAAAGTACCCGGTTCTCCGGTTCTGGTTCCTCTGTTCTATGCTTTACTACTCACCACTGAGTGACCAGCCAGACTTGGAACTATATGACCTTTAAGCGTGCAGCTTTCTTGAGCCTTCATGTTTTTCTTGTGCAAATAGAGCTGCGAAAATGTTTAAGGAAGTTTAAAAAAATAGAGTGTAGTAGGGTGCAAAGTGATTTTGGTTGCCTTTTACCTGCTAAAAAGTTTAATTTTGTGAACGCCTGCAATATTAAGCTAAGCGAGCGTATTAAGCTGGCATTTCAGGGCACTATTTTATTTATATATAAGGAAAATTTGAAAGTTAGGTGGGGCTCGAGCACCCTCCTGCCCCTACCTGGCTACGCCCATGTATATATTTCTTATTTATATATATATATATATATATATATATTTCTTATTTCTAATATTTGCCGATTTAACGCTGGAATTATCTTCACAAATTACCCAGAACTTCGACCACACTAATTTAAATCGCAAACTCAATTTTCCATTTTCCCTTTCTCTCGAATCTTTCCATTACCATTACAATGTTAATTTTAATGTCCAAATGAACGGGTGAAAGCGCCGGACTTCTCCCGTGTACTATGAAGCCATGGTTTTAACCGGCGAAGGCTTATAAAACTTCTTTCGGAAGCAACGCTTGAAGCTTGAAGTGGGGCAAAAATGCCGAAATTTGTTTACAATGGAAGATTCACGTTGCACACAGGACTACTGGTATAATACTTTAAACCGATTATAAGTCAGATTTATCAACTTTGTTAAGCCTCTTTAAACATATTATGGGTCTGTCTTATCTATTATTAACCTGTCTTTCCATACCAAATAAATTAAGTTTACGAGGCTTACGTGGTTACGATGCGTTTACGTATTTAGATGAAATGACGTAATATTTTTTCATAGCGCTGCTTTTGTTTGAAATGCTTGATTATAAAATTTAATCCAAAAAGAACTCAAATATAGTTCTGCAAATTAAGTAAACGAAAGACTTAAGANTTTTTTTTTTTTTTTTTTTTTTTTTTTTTTTTTTTTTTTTTTTTTTACCCAGATATTGAAAAATAAATGGACAGTTGAACCTAATGGTAAAAAACCTGGAAGTTAAAATGATCCAGCTTTCCTCTAGCTTGGAATTAGCCATCACACGCAAACGCCCCCTTATAAAACAACTAAAAGCCAACCTCATTTTTTAAAATGGAATGAATGGTACAAATTTGATGATATGACAAAAAAGCGTACGCGTATTATGCATTCATACATGTGTAATATGTACATAAGACCAGGTCAAAAAAAAAATAATAATAAAAATTACTGCAGTGCGACCGAAACCTTACTCAAATTTTAGTATTTGATATAGTAATGATCCTTCATGAATCTCCCTTCTCAATGATTGTTCTAACAGGTGCAGCATCGAGAGTTTTTTCCCCCATAGGAATAACACGTAATAAAATGATTTGTTCTCTTTTGAGGTAAGCATAATTTTCCGCTAGAATGAAAGTTAAAAGCCTGGC